ATAATTGTAATTGAAAAAAATGAATTTGGTGGAAATAATTTTGTTGTTGTCCTTTTTTTGGTTTTAAGTTTTCTTAAAAGAAATGTTTTGATTTCATACTGTACTTACTCTCATTTAGTAAAATTTCGAAACTTTTTTGAAACGTTTTTCTTTTATTTCCAGAAGTTTAGATAAATAAATCCAGGAAATGAATTGATGTACCTGTAAAATCTCTATGCTAATTTCGCAAACCTGGATTATTCTTGGACATTTAGGATTGACGCATGCACTCTCATTGAACTTGGGGGGGGGGGGGGGGAGGTGAATTCAGAATGTTTAATAACAAAAAACCTCACAAATCAGAGCTAGAAATCAATAAATGTATCTAATTTTGTGCAGCAAGATATCTCTAAATTAAGAGTAAATGGTATTTCTCCAAGTGTGGGTCCACAATCGTCCCTTCAAATGGTTAGTATTAAATGATTATGATATATTTATCTATTTGAATTTTTGCCCATTTAACTTGAAGTTTCCAGTATTTGGATATGGTTATAGAATATTTATATTTGTCCGTAATTCTTTAAAAATTACTATGAAATTCTATTAAAATTTATTTCTCAGGATGTCTACATGTTCATAATCAAAACGAATCTTAATATTTAAAATCTTTTCTTTTAGCAAGGATTGTTATATTGACTTCCAGTTGTAATAACAACCAGGAGTGTGCAAGGATAACTTGTTCATCAGGCGATGATCCAATTTGCCTTAATTCACAGTGCATTTGTAAACGTGAGTATATATAACAACGAGTAACAAGGAATGATATTTGCAGCAAACACGGTATTTGTTTGCTATACGTCCCTTTGAGAATTTTTCACTCATGTTGGGACGTTTCAATTGCCTATGGACGACTAATTTAAACATGTGCCACAGGCACTAGCTTTATAAGAGTTAAGCTTCAAAGTTTAATAATAACACAATATGGGGGATAAATAAATGTTGCATTAATAAGTGCCGGTGACCTGTGCTTTGAATTTATGGCCATTGAGCAGTGATGGATCTTATAGGTGTTAACACCTTACTTCTAAACGGGACCTCGATCTCATCCGAATAACTGCACGATCTCAATGGGATTCGAACCCCATAATGATATAGTAGTAGCTGGTTACTCTGCGTTTAACTCTAATATTGCAGTCAGTTGGGGTCAGTTCGGGGTGTCATATTCTGTTGTTTGCAATAGCTGCGTTAATCTAGTTTATTTTTCTTGATATATCAGGTAGGATGGGATACTGTACGAGAGATGACGAATGTCATACAGGAGAATGTGACGACAGTCATCACTATTGTCACGTTGCGAGCAATACATGTGGATGTATGCGTAAGTAGATAAAGCTGTTTAACGTCTCTTTCCCTATCGGAAATTCTTAGTAATAATTGATAATTGAACTCCTTTGTCATTTCTTTAATGAACAGCTCTTACTAAACTTAACAAAGGGTGAAATCAGAAGCACATTATTTCCAACTTCTTTTGATGCTGAAAGTACGCATGATACATTATTATCTCTAAAACATCTACATCCTTGACCAAAGTCATACGTTACCTCATTATTTTAAATTCATGTTTAAATAATAAATTATTGCTCTTTCTCACATTTTCTTCATATAATGATTAGACATAACATTCATTTCTGAAAAAGCAAGCAGCGCTTCATACTTTACACTGTTTTCCATTTGAGTCTAACGCTATTGTTGTTGATGAAAATCAATGTTGGAAATTTAAAAAAAAATAGTGAAATTTAGAGCAGAGGGTTATTTCACCTTAAGCATGATTTTAAAATCATACGATAAAACTTGTACATGTATATTGTATAGTTAAGCTTATCCATGTCTGTGGCTTTTTTTTTTCTAGATGCCCCTCCGCCACACGATAGATGGTCGTGTTTCTCCGATAGACATTGTAGTGGTATGCACTGTGGACATGAACATCATTTAAGATATGTTTGTCATGGTGGGATTTGTCAATGCATGTCGGGTAATATCATACTTTTCTTTTAAATTAATCTTCGTAACGAATTGTTTTTACATAATTTAACATTTTAGTGATGAACTTTTATATTATTTAAACAACCACCTAAGATAAAGTTGTAAAATTTTCAGGAGCTTGCACGTTCTATTAATATCAAGAACTTTCCAATTGTTCTAAACTACTAGTAATGCTACTAGTAATACTAATAGTGGATACTAGTAACGTGCCAAGCCTCACGACTACTGTAAAATCACTTATTTTCGTGGTGTCTAACTTTTGTGCTGGAGGAAAAATTACTGGTTCGAGGGGATTTGATTTTGTAAAGGAGAAGCATCATACTACAGTATGAAACTCTAGCATTCCGTGGGGGACATGATTTCGTGGGTCTCTTCATACCACGAAAACAATTAAGAAATAAACAACAATGTTAAAAAGTTCTCTGAGAAATGAACTTGGTTGGTCATGTGATCAAATCCTGTGAAGCCCTCAGGGCTTCTCAGAAGATTTGATCACGTACCAACCAAGTTCATTTCCCAGTGAACTTTTTAACATTGTTGTTTATTACTTTTATTTACATTTGAGACGAATATTCTGAAAAGAACTGCATTTATTACACGAACGGCCCGCCGTATTGCTATGTTGTGACGCGCAATGACCTAGAAGCTGTTTGGTCTTGAGAGTTCGCCTCGCTCCAATATTTTAATACTTACATTGATGTTCAGCAGTCCAGTTCAGGAAATATCTGTTCATATTGAAAAAACCATGATCGCTACTGAGATAAACATATATGTTTCAATAATTTTATCTTTTTCATCGCTTTAACGGTTTAGAAGTTCCGAAACCAGTGTCACCGTGACAGAAATATGTAGACAAGATATCATCTCGCTGTGTGATTCGGTCACGCCATGACCTCTGACCCCCTAATAAGTTCATTTAAGAAATGAATTTAATTTTTGAAGATTCATGAGGACATATTTACATTTCCAAGTATTTTTCCTTAAGATTCTTTGCAAATTAGATAATTGTTCATTTTCTCATGAACTACCATGAGAGGAGCAAGAATATCTCCATTGTGACGTCATAATACCGTATTTGACGTCAAAACTATAGTGCAAACTGTTTTGCTTTAAAAATGACATTTGAATCGCGTAACTTGTGGAAATTCATCAGAAAAATAATGTAAATATAAGAAATGAATTTAATTTTTGAAGATTCATGAGGTACATGAACTACAACGCTTCACACCGGCATATTTATTATGAAGCGTTAACGCGCTTCATGAAATATGCCGGCGTGAAGCGTCGTAGTTCATGTCCTCATGAATCTTCAAAAATTAAATTCATTTCTTAAATGAACTACGACGCTTCACGCCGGCATATTTCATGAAGCGCGTTAGCGCTTCATGATAAATATGCTGGCGTGAAGTGTTGTATTTCATGTACCTCATGAATCTTCAAAAATTAAATTCATTTCTTATATTTACATTATTTTTCTGATGAGTTGCCACAAATTACGCAATTCAAATATCATTTTTAAAGCAAAACAGTTTGCACTATAGTTTTTACGTCAAGTACGGTATTGTGACGTAACAATGGAGATATTCATGCTCATCCATGGTAGTTCATGAGAAAATGAACAGTTGTCTTATTTGCAAAGAATCTTAAGGAGAACAATTTGGAAATGTAAATATACAGAATTGAACATATTTTCCCTTCAAAAGGTTCATCTAAGAAAAATATTTGCAAATGTAAATAAAGGATATTAAACCTCCATAAAAATTAGTGATTTCACAGTTTTTCAGATTGTAAAACCTTGCAGTAGGGAAACAAACATTATTTTAAACATATATTGTAATGCTGAACACCCGATACATGCGATACATGTCAGTTTCGAATTATCATTTGAAGAGACATTTATTTTATCTGAAAGTCCGTCCTTTGTCATCTTACCTATACAAAAAAGTACACTCTGTACCAGAAACGTAGGCCCTATTAGCCAAGACTGCAGATATTTAAATATCTTCTCCAGGACAGAAGTCCATGTTAGCTGCAAATTGAAACAGTTCAATGTTATGCATTCAAGTCATAGCATGGCCTTTTAAAGATAGTTGGAATCACAATATGAGAACATTTTTTATATGAAGAGAAAAAAAGTAATTAAAATCAGAAAGGCCAGTGTGGATCAGGTGTTCGTTGTGGTCCATGGACCTCTTGTTTCTCTTACCTTCACTCTTGCAAGCTTCATGTAATTAATAGAGATCCCTGTACCATCATGTGGTGCACATCAGTTGGAGGGACATCATCATCCCGATCATGCCCCTGAGGAAAAGTGTCCACATTCCATGTGTACTTATCCTTACACCCCCACATGTACTGGTGTCGAATGTGCCTGCACAAGTAAGATATCTTATCTGAACTATCTTTCACATCCACTACATTTATGTAGTTTGTAAAACTTTACAAATGATACAAATGATACTTGTATTGAACATTTGCACGTGGGTTTTGAGGAGCAAAGAAGAAGGTACGGTTTGGGCTTTACTATGCCCTAAAAATTTAATATTCTTAGAAAGTTATGAAATTGGCTTAAATATGAGTTGAGTATATGAATGTGAAAATCAAGAAAGAATATGGCATTAAGGGAAGACCATTGTGGAAATATGACGTCATTAATGTGTTACATTTTTAAGTTTTGAACATAAAAAGCCTCAAAATGACTCATTTCAGGGGTTATTTCCCTTAAGAAAATAGTGTCCATAGCCGTCGTCCATTTTAATTTTTGATATGTTGTGTAAAATCCTTTGAAAAATCACATTTATTAAAATCTTTGTGGGTGATGCATGTGCTCTATATTATTTTTTATCCTGCAACTACCCCTTGTATTGACCTTAATAAAGGTAACCTAATAAACCAAAGCTTTATTCGGTCAATAGGCCTACACAGTGTTCCGCGAGACTTCGCGAGATTTCGTTACTGGAGATAAACAAAGACGACGCCATATTACTTGGCATAAGTGATTGTGGTATGTAACGGTATGGCGTTCTCCATTCTCTATTGGTCGAATTATACAGCTGGGACAGCAAAGTTGATGCGTAAATCAGAAACTGCCGTTCAGTCTGAACATGTGTTAAAGTTTGTATATGACAGAGATGCGCAGTTTATTAGAGGAATTGTTCAAGCCTCCATGCGAGACCGGAGCTACCAGGTTACAGTGAGTTTATCCCATTTCTTTTTGATTTTTGAAAGAAGAAATAAGTTTTTTTTTAATCTTTATATGTAAAGCATTAAATAATGCATAATGTACAACACGGTTTGAAGTAAATATGTTTTATCGTGCCTACCTAATAAACCCAGAACAAACTCTTTCCGAATTTCCTAGATTAAAACTGAAAGCGACCATATCTTTCGTATCTATAACTATACTTTTTTCACGACAATTTTCATGTTTATATGTAAACACGTTTTTTTTTACTTTCAGAATTGATAGTGATATAAGTAGAATTCTATGTGGTTATTTTTTATTTCATTAGATAACTCTTGGTTCCAACTACACCGTAGAACAGAGCACATGTGAATGTGTAAATGGGATGGACAAATGTCACCATAAAGCCAGCATTCTTCTCTATGGGTAATTTATATGCAATTTATTATGTTATTTCACTTGTTCTGTTTTGTTTTTAATAGGTGGTACCAAATTTAGAGTTAATCAAAACATGCACACCTATTCAGATTGTGACCTATAAAAACATACTGGTAAGTATATCAGTCCCCGTCAGTGATTAATAGACTGTTTCACTGTAACTGGGGTATTGCTCTTTCGCAGGGCAAAATGATATAATTTGATGAAATATGACGTAAAATTAATTGTTAAATATACGTCATTTGATTATCTGCCAACAAAAACTTCTTCAAACGTCATTATTTTGCCCTGCAAAACAGTAGCACCGCAATTACCGTGAAGGGGCTAATTAAAAAGTGTGGGCTGGTTACTCCTATGTTACATCAGTATTTTTTTTTAAGTGAATTTACAAAATATATATATATGTTACTTAGGGGCCGACAAATCCCACTGCCCAATACTTGGGAATTTTAGGGGTTAAGTCAATTACCAGAGGGAAAGTGACTTTTTAATGAAAAAAATTGATAAGTCTTAGTCTTGCAACTGGACAAAGGGGCTTTTTTTTTTATATATAATTTTTCTTCCTACATTTTGAAATTAATAGTTTAAGATCTATTTGTCAGCCCCTGGGATCACTATTATATTTATGATATAATATACCTTAGTAAATTTATGGAACACCTTGATACTAAACAGGTACAAAAATCTAAGCAAAACTGATGTACGCCAGAGTTGGATTAAACATCCAAAGAGTGCACCACCTCGACAAACTAAAACTATGGAAGACCTTTTTCCTGCACCAGACAGGTTTATAAATTACAGGTAAGCACTTATTATCATGACTGTTTCATGTATGGTGCAAAATAATTATATATATATATATATATTTTAGGAATGACTCTAATTCTTGGCCAAATTATTCGAGTATAACCTGGTTTGGGTCAGTTTATTTAATTATAATTTAATTTTAAAATCATTGAATAACTATGGGTGTAAAACTTCGTTGCTTTTTATTAGTTCAAATTTGCCGCTCAATAATACAACCGTAATAACGGAAGTGATGGGAAGCGAGGGGAGGTAAAAACTGATACAAATGCCTAGCAGCCTTGTTGTTTGTTTACATGTGGTAAGATCGAATTTTTGTTTGAAGTTAAAGGTACATTTATTAAATCTGGATTTTTCCATGAATCCCGAGGACTGGAAATGAGAGGTTTGTATGGATACAGATGATTCAGCTGGTTGTTAGGGGGGGGTGTCCCCATACCAAACCAGGTTATACAGAAATAATTTGTGTTCCTTTTTGGATATTAACCAATCAGAGGCTAGAATACAAACAAAATTAAATTATATATATATATATATATATATATATATATATATATATATATATATATATATATATATATATATATATATATATATATATATATCAAAAGAGCTGTCTCTCTCAGGGTGATCAATTTAGTGTCCCTTTTTTCTCATAAAAATTCTTTTCAGTATATAATAGAGAGAGAGAGAGAGAGAGAGAGGTAAACACACAAGTATATTTATATCTGTTATACATTAAATTAAAATATCACCAGGGCAATAGATAGACCTGTTGATGGCAATGACAGAGACTTCTTGTACCAAAAGTTGAGACAATCGGGAAGGTTTTCAGGTGGAATATTTAAAATGTGTCAAGTTTTATCTTGTTCTGTTTGTGTTATTTTCATGTGTATATTTATTGCATTACTTTATTTTGTTGGAAGTTCGTTCTGTTCATTACCAAAATGTGTTAAGATATTAACTATTTTACATTCCAGTATAACTTTCATTGCTTGAGTGAAACATAATGGATAATGTTTTCAGTTTTTTTTTTCGTCTTTGTCACCAATTGTCCTAAAATACACCCTTTTCTGTACCAATGTTTTTTGGTGTATTGAATGACAAACATCTTAATTTTAATTTTTCAACAAATGTACCAGAAATTTAAAACCCAGCCATAAAATGAAATTGGTGAATAGACACCTTTTTATGTTTTCAACATTTTACATGTAAAGTTATTTTCATCACTGTGACAATTCTTCACATTGCAAGGAACCTTATGAATAAAATTTATATTTTCATAGCCATGCATTGGATTTTGGCACCAGAGCCACCTGTACCACAGGTATGTGTACCAGTAATTGACGACTTGTTGGCTAATCAAGAGTTCCTGGCTGCAGAGCACCCCATGACCTGGTTGCGACAGAAACTGATTGTGAACGATCAACAAATTCAACAGGTATTGCAAAATGCAGACCAGTACTAAATTTTAAAGTGTGTTTATGTAATATAAAATGTTGTCTCAACTAGTTGAAATGTTTAGTAGTTCTGATAGTATTTTTATACTGACAGATTGCTGCTTTGACTGTTGGGCAAAAAGACAACTGTCTCTGGTCTACAGTTCGTAAAAATCGTTTAACAGCTTCTAACTTTGGATGTGTTCTGGCAGCAGTAAGAAGAAACAGGTACATCAAAATATGTATTTTGTAAATCTTTTATGAGTATTAATGAAATTATGCTTGTTCTTAAATTAAAAAGTAACTGAAATCATTTTCTCCTGCACTTTGTACAGATATCCAGCTTCGCTGTTCAAGCGCCTCTGCCAAGCATACGACCTTTCAAAAAAAGATGCTATAATTTGGGGTGTTTGTAATGAAAGAGTTGCCATAGATAAGTACAGGTCATATGGAGATGCAGTAGTAGAACCAACAGGTAAGATGGAGGAAACTATTTTCACCTGCACTTAAAAATTCTTAGTCATTACTTTCTGTTATACATGTTTGCTATCAAACTGTTATATATTTATTTTTTATTTTCAATAGGCATATGGCTCCACAGTAATGGTGTACTGGGGTGTAGCCCTGATGGGATTGTACGTCGGCCAGCTGCGTTTGGATTCCATCACCAATCTCCACCTCTGATTCACATAATGCAGGCATGCAATATTCGGCCTACGGTACTAGAAGTAAAGTGTCCATATACAGCCAAAGAGAAGACAATTTCTGAAGCAATTGACACCATTGATGATTTTTGCTTAGGTAAGCAACTTTTACATAGTTTTAAAAAAAGATTTTGTATAAAAAAAATTCCCTTATAATTTACTGTTAACTCCATATATGAAAAATGATTGAATGAATCCCTATAACATTTAATCCTCTTGATCTTTTATGCTGAACTGCAGTTTTTGTCAATATATGATGTGTATATTTTCATTTAAAGAATTTCAAGAATTTTGTGGAGAGAGAACGTACAAGTTAAAGGAGACCCATCCGTATTATGATCAAATTCAAGGACAATTATTTATAACTGGGAAACAAGCCTGTGATTTTATGGTTTGGACACCGAAAGATTGTGCCATTGTGAGGATTACCCAGGACCCTGTTTGGCAGACAAACATTTCTGTTCTTACTGACTTTTATTTCCATAGATTTATACCACACTTACAGCAGTAATCCTTCATGTATACATGCTAGTTAGTCATGTATAGCATGCAAGCCATGTTTGAAGAGTAATATTGAATGTCAATATCTGCAAGTTAATCATATTTTAATCTTGAATAAACAATAGCTTTCAAACTTTTTCAGTTATTTTCTGGTACAAAATTCTGAGCAATTTCCTGCAACAAAGGGTCTTGGAAATTTACCAACACACAACATAACTGGAAGATTTTTGTACTTATATATCTGAGCTGGTGTGGGATGTGTCTCAGTATTTCATAATTTTTTATTCTTTCATTAGCACGTTCAACGTGAATTCTAGATCTTGCAATTTTTCTACAGAGCTGGACTTCAGCAGGGGTGTACTGAGACTTTGCTGTCAAAAAGGGTGGTATATTAAGATGCACACCTTGTGGCAAGAGTTTATGTATTGTGAACCCTTTATCTGCAAGAATCATATCACCAGGAGACAGTTGATGCATAAGTCCACAATGCTCAACAATCGCTACATCTGAAGTACTTCCTGGATACAATTTACTTGCAAAAACTAGTGCACCATTTGGGGCAACACCAGTGACACTTTTAACTGTGTGAGAATTTTTATACCCACTGTAGGTACTAGCTTGTAGCCTCATGTCATTACCAGGAACATCCTGTGTAATTTCAGTGGCATCAAGCACAATGCGACATGCACTGAAATCGCCAAAACTTGTTGGCATTGAGCCTTTGCATTTTTGCAAAGTCGGAATGTTATTTTCTATTAACCCCTCATACAAAACTTCATGCATTGCACAGATCTGTGAAGTTACAATATTGTTCACTGAGGATGCACTTGTGTTGAACCTCTCGGCAAGATCTAAGAGTGGCATGTTCATGGTAAGTTTCATGAGGGTCATAAGCAGTTGATCACTTTGTGATATAAATGAAGGTGTCCATCCATCGATGTACTTGATGGTGAATCTGCACATCATTTCGTCAATAGCTTGAAACATGTCTGGTCTTAGACTTGTATACATCAGCATCTATATAAATAATGATATTCTTAACACTGCATTTGATTTTGACCATTATACAATGGGGAGTAATTGTGAAATGTTGCAAAAAAAATCTCACTCTGGTAATACTTTTACAGTATAACAAACATGTATGTGAAAACAAAAAAATTTAATAAAAATTCAACTCTATGAATAGAATACTGTCCAGCAGTATAACATGATTTTTTTTCTTATTTAGTATATTATTTCAATCATTATTTGATTTCTAGCTGCCCACAGTCCACATCCTTGGTAGATGAAGTATATCTTTGAAACTGTCCAGCAGTCTGTATATCTATGGGACTGTCCAGCAGTCTGTATATTTATAGAACTGTCCAGCAGTCCATCCATTTTCATTTTTAAACACTGAAAATGAAATGATAAACCACAAAGCATCTTGTTCCAAAGAAAATTTGTAGCAAGTATATAAATGCATAAGGAATTAAATTGGTTTTGCTTTGATGGGTTCTTTGAGTCACATTTTGAATGTACTTGTATCATGGGCTTGAAAACTGAGATCTATAATCAACTGCATTTTAAAGGATATATATTCTGTTGGATTTGAAAGTAAAATTCCCTGGGACAATGACAAATAAAAGTACTTGCAGTTGTTTCTAAACATTGAGTGATATTTAGTGTGAAACGTACCTTTCTTTCATCTCCTATTATGTCCTCCAAAGTAAAAGCTCTTTTTGTAGACATTGCCTGAATCTGCCTTGTTAAATCTTTTACTTGCAGTTTCAAATTCTATTGAAGTTAAATCAATTTAGTTTTAGGTGAAAGAATTTTCACAATATGATGATCATAATGTTGTTACACAAAAAACTGGGAAAAAAAAACAAACAAACCAACCTTGTGCTCCTCAGTTAACCGTTGAAATGAAAGCTGGTATGGGTGGTCAGTTACATGTGGAGGAAGCACAGGGACACATGTATCAGAAGAGGTGCTGCTTTCATCTGTGTTCACACACTGCTTCTGACTGTCATATTCTTCCTCAGATTTTACAGTTCTAATAGGAAAAATTATCGCTATCATGTTTACTACAAATATTAAAATTTACTTCCTTTTAAATTTACATTTACTACAAAATTTACCTTGAAATTTTATTTGGGTCTGGAAAATCAAACCCGGAACTCCAGGGAAACTGTGTAGGGCCATTCCCCTTTATGCCGTCTTTGAAATGGCAACTGCAAATCCTGTCCATATTAGGATTCACACATCTATCCTTGCGTCTAGAATTAGGTCAAATTTATACATATAGATGTTGAATACATTATTCACATCAAACAGAAGATTAATCGTTTTACTTTGAACACCCCCCCCCCCCCAATACGATTTTGACATACATATTTACATATTTAATGCATCTTACCTGCAGAGTCTCTCCCATCTCCTTGCCAACGCTTGATTCGGTGGGAATCTGAACATTTTACAAGATTTCTGTAACCCTTGGTGGTTACAACCAAAGACGAAACAAATAGTCATCCTAGTAATGTATTTGTTTATCTCCGGAAGCTGTTTACCGGAAGTTACGTTGTGCGAGACTGTGTAGGCCTATGCCCTAATAAAGCCTCGTGCACGTATTCCAACGTTCTAAAAGCATTGTGACGTCATGAACATTGCAATGTTTACGCCATGGCGTCTTAGTTTCAACTGCAGAGATGTACCTAAATCGGTTGAAAACAGCTCGTTTTGGAGGTCCTGTAAAAATGTGTTGCAGGATAAACAAAATACATGGAGACTGTCTTGAAATATAAGCGATATTTGGGCTCGGGTCGAAAACGTGATAGAGGGCAAGCCTCGCCCTCTATCACGTTTTCTTACCCTCGCCCAAATACCGCTTATATTTCAAGACAGTAACCATGTATTTTATATATAGAACATTTTACTGAAAATTAATGTCTTTTGCTACTTTTTAAGAAAATATGGGAAATGCACAAGTTCATGACGTCACAATTAGCATTTAGGAGGTTATTTGAGGAAAGCAGTTTGTTTCTTTTTACTGCATGGAATTTCAATGATTCAAAAGGCATGAGTGTTGTTTTCTTACATCTCTTTCATATTTAAGAAAAATACAGGGCAAGATTTGTATTGAAACCGTACCTTTTTCTTTAGGGATTCGATCATAAATAATTTATTAAGCCTTTATGAAAGCATTTTTTAAAAAGAGTTTCACTTGTAAACATAATAGACAAATTAATGTAATTGATGTAATTAGATGAAAAATTATCTTAAATTGAATTTACATATTTATATGGGTCGCAAATTAATTTTAAAAAATGCTAATGTAGTACTTTTCATCGTAGGTAGTAAGCTCGTTAATATATTATTAATAGTGTAGCGGAATGAATGTTATAGACGTATCTCTCCTTATAAAGTTCGTGGTTTTATTCTCAAATTCATTTTTGTTCCAATATGTTCGATGGGTCTGTGAAATAATTTTTTTTAAAAATATTTACATTAATGGTGGTTCATTCTTCAGATTCTGAAAATCAGCAGTGAAGTTATTGAAAATACTAACACAAATGTTATTGAATTCATAAAGTAGTGTGTATTTACCAATAAAATTTCTTCAAAGTTTATATTTATAGTTAGTCATATTATACAGAGAAAATTATCAAATCTCAAACATATTTTAAGGAAAGTTGAATAAAGGCACCAATTATACATTTTCGAATCGAAAATTGATCAACAAGTATCTTTTAGGATTAAAAACTATACGCATCCAGGCATTCGGAAAAATTTGAACGTTTATTTAGTTCTTCTATTAAAGCAATATAAGCTGCAACTTTGATATCGGAAATTTTTGTTTCAGTTTTGCAATTAACTATTTCAATGACAGAAAAAAAGAAACTTTATAAACTTTTATTTTTTATATTTGTGAAGAAAAAACTAATTCTAAGCTTTGATTAAAGCAAAATTACATTATTGTTGTCCTGTACAATATTGATTTCTTATATAATACTATATACATTCCAATGTACAGAAATTTTTCTTCTGAAACAATTTAATACTTTATTTTAGATTAATTGATTTTAGATTAATTGATCATAAAGATTTAAGTTACATACAGATTTATCATAAAATCACATTTTAACAGCAAAATAAAATTCTCAAAAATGCAGCTCGTATTTCTTTAACTCCAATGTCATATGATGCATGTACATAGATATATGCAACACTTGTGCTCCCAATTGTATTTCATGCTAAAATAATTGGTATCTAAGGCAAGTTTGAAGGAAATTCGATTTCTCTTAAAATATTTTGGGGTATTTTTATGGGATGCAAATGTACTCTTTTCAAGGCCGTTTCTAAGACTTCAAAGTACCTTGAATAATAATTAAGACGAATGAAATAAAAATTGTGTAACTTTCATTTGAAGACATTTAATTAATTATTTTAAGAGTTATTGTTCCTGGCTGATGAGAGGACATCCTATAGATCTATTCAATGTGTTTATTATGCATGCATTATGAATGAATCGATTTTCCATTATAAATGTACTTCCTAAATTTGGTTTTGGAAGGTTTTAAAAATCAATTACAAGTATGTTAAGTGTTAAACATTTGCAATCTATAGAGCCATAATACACAATTTCACCTAACTTAAGATATGTGCGTATAGTTCTAGGTTTGTATTAACGAAGCAGGAATATTTCATATATTATTTGAATCTAGTAATTAATTTGAAGAATGTTTCTTTGGTCAGGTAAACCTCCAGCATGTCATTCAGACCGTGATTGTAGTAGATCACATTGTCCATCACATCAGACAACGCTTTGTTATCAATTTAATTGTTATTGTGTTGGTAAGTATTGTTAGTTTGAATCAAACCAAAAATTTGGTCAGCAACAAGTTACAAATTATGCAAGCACTTTACGTGAAAAAAAATTGTGAATGAAAGACTTGACTTGATATGGTCAAATCATTTGAAATAGAAATACATTAAATTCTTGCAAGAGTCAACATTTTTCTACTTCAAAGCAAATTCGATAGTTGCATTAAACATGGTTGAAATTAGCAATGTTCTTTCTGCAAGATTGTCCTTTAGAAAATAAAACTAAATAACAG